GAACGGGGCCGGGGGGAGAAGCGGGAGGGTCTGCCCAGGGCGGTGGGCTGAAGGAGGAGGCTGCTCTGCACCGGGGGTTGGGGGAGAGTCGGGGAGAAAGGCTTGGGTCGGGTTTGGTGGAGGGGTGGGCTGGGGCAGCAGGAAAAGGGGGATAAACAGAGCCTGTGAGGTCGGTGGGGTTCCCTGAGGGAGAGCAGAATAGCAGAGCTGCTGGAGGGGGGGAGTTCAAGTGGTTGCCGAGGTGAAAAGAGGCAGTGAGAGAAGGGGGGAGCACCGTGGAGGTTGGAGATGGAGCGTGTGGGACAGCAGGGTGAAAGCAGTGGAGAAATCCAGCGTTGGTTGTCTTTCTGTGGTGGGAAGGAGGCAATTAGCTATCTTATATGAATTAAAAAACTCTTAATAGCTGTTACTTACTGAAACAGAAGGGAATTATTAGCTGTGTGGTAACAGCCCTCATGAGCTCCATTTCTTAGGAGCTTGTGCTCAGACCTGCAACATCAACTTCAAACACTGAGGAGCATTCTGGAATCTCAGAATCAGAGGAAAAACCTGAGGAAGGTTTGGTGGAAGGGATGTAGGGAATGCAGCTGGAGTTCAGGCTTCATAGCTGTGCCCTGCCCACCTCCTGGAGGTACTCATCTCTCCTTGGGGAGGAAAATAAATTAATTCTTGGCTACCCATGTCTTAGAAATAGAAGGCTGAAAAGGCACAGCAGAAAACTGGCAGTCCCACAGTGATTGAATTTGCTTGTAGTTTATATTATCTATTCATAACATTGGGGCTACCTCTGTTATGTATAAAGGTTGCAGTACTTCTGTGAGACATGTAGCTGAGAAGGCCAGATCACAGCAAGTAACTTTATGTGCAGTGAGAAGTTTGTGGTCAACCCTAACAAGCATCTGGTGATAGTATTTTGGGGGTGTTTCAGGCCAAGATGCAGAAGCAGTTACAGCTGTTTCAGTCCTTGCCTTCCACACAGTCTGTTATGTCATGGAAGAAGCCTGGGAGATGTTTTTCAGAGCCTTTAGACTTTCTGCCTCACCTCTGTGTGTGTGAGTGTTAATGGAGAGCCTCTCCTCTGAAACTGGGAGGAATTTGCCCCACTCTCTGAAGTGGAAGTTGCTTAAATTTGATGTGAGTTTCACTGCAGAACTTCTAGAGGGTTTACAGAGGTTAATTTGCAGTTGCAGGAAAGGGGTGAGATGGTTCATTTCACTTCTGAATTCATCTCTCCAGAGGCCTGGCTGTGTGTTTGCCTGAGGCTTGGGCATTTACTTTGTTCCTTTCTTTGTTTTTAAATAATTTACTACTTTGGCTTTTTGAAATACTACTTCAGTGTTAACAGGTCATTCTTTACCTCATCTAGACACTGAGGATGCCAGTGAAACTGACCTGGCAAAACATGAGGATGAGGACTTTGTAGAAATGAAAGAACAGTAAGTAACCTTTTCTAGTAAAAAATAATGGTATCTTGCCTACTTGGGGATTTTTTGCATAAAACTTTGCAGTGTTCTGGGCCAAGGCTGGTGTTTTTAAGTGCCTAGACAGCTAATGAGTCCATTTATTTCTATAATGAGTCCTTGTATTTCTTCTGGCCTCAGTTTCTCCCTCTGTGCTGTATGTATTCAAGGAACTGAGCCCTTCTCTTTGGAGCAAAGGAGCAGGTATGAGTTCCTGGGAGCAGCTGAGCTTTGCTGCAAATGAATCCAGCTGCAGACAGTTCCTTAAAATAAAGGATCTACTTTATATAAAGCCAAGCAAAAAAGCAAGATGTCCATTAAAACCCCTTCAACAGTAGCACACTAGTCCTGTCCAAGAGGCTTTTTGGCTTCTTGGAATAGCTTCCCTTGATGTTTGGGTGTATTTGCAGTACTTTGTGTCCTTGCTTGCTGGCAGAAACATGTTTTTATACTTGGGCTGTGTTGCACCATGGATATATGAGAAGTGCACTTTTGCACCAGCAGCAGACCTAGGGGTTTGGTTTTCTTTCGTAAAGTCAAGATCTAGGTGAGAAAATGCCTTCTAGTTTAGAAGTAGGGAACTGAGACACACATTAGGCCTTGTCAGAGTGGCAGAATGATTCTGTTGCAGAGCTTTGTAGGTCTGAATGTCACTTTTTTTTTTTTAATGTTGAAATCTAAATCCTGTTTTGCCCTGAATTGCTCCCAAGATAATTGCTTTGGCTACATGGTAAAACCAAAGGAGTGGCAAGTTTTTTAGAGCAATAACCTTTCATTTCAATAATGTTCTTTTAGTTGTTGTTGATTTGTTTCTGGAAGTTCTTCTGAAAAGCTTTTAGGTCCATGGAAACATGTTGTACCCTCAACAGCTGGTCAAATAAAGGTTGTATGTTTGTGTTCTGTGGTAAAGTTGCTCACTCTGTCATTGCAGGATGTATCAGGATAAACTTGCATCTCTGAAGAGGCAGCTGCAACAGTTGCAGGAAGGTGAGCTTTGAAAGGAGGGAGCTTTTTTCTTCTAAACAATTTTCAGCATTCTTCAAGGGTGGTAGTAGAAGGATGAGGGCTCTGAAAGATGTAAATAGCATCCTTCACTGGAGGGAGGTGGGATATCAGTTATGCTGCTGAGAGAAGAATATCAGCCACTTGCCATCCTTTTCCCTCTAAACATATGTAGCTAAGCCCCTGTGTACCAATAATTCCTTAAAAAGAGTAGTGCTTGTCAAAATATCAAACCCAAACTGTAGTTTTCTGATTTCAGAGGTTAGTGTTGATGTTTCAAGTGGTGTATGGCTCCTTGGGAAAAATGAATACTTTGAAAAAATGAAATTCTTGTGGGGATCCACAATTTATTTCAACTAGGTACCCTTCAGGAGTATCAGAAAAGAATGAAGAAGCTGGACCAGCAGTACAAAGAAAGGATACGAAATGCAGGTAAGCTGAATTTCTTCCCAAGGTGTTGCATACAACTTCAATGAATGCTTTTTAAAACACATGAAGCAAAATAATGATCATTCTCTGCACTTGGTGTTGTGGGGCTCTGTTTGGGGAGCAAAGGGTCAGGTTAAAGTGCCTCACTCAGCCCTTCTGGAACACCCTTTGTGTGTTACTGCAGAGGAGCAGATCTGTTTGCTTCCCCTCCCTCTGTTTTTTTTCTCTTTCCAGTAGGTTCTTATCTTGGATACTGAAACAGGGCCTTTTTTAGCTGCTGTTCTGTAGAAATGGGAAATGTAGCTGTTCTTCCTGTAGAAAAGTTGGATGAATCCTGTCATCTCTGGGCTGTTACTCTGGGAAGCATGAGAGAGGCAGTGCCAGATGTGTGATCTGTCTCCAACCTTTAAACAGGACAAACCTGATCTTTCTAAAAGTGTCTGGGATGTTGAAGGATTTCTTGAGGAATTTAAGTCAATTTAACTACTTCTTGTTAACAGGAGTCTGTTTTCTGAGATGAATGTCATGTACACTAGAGCTGCATTCTGGTAATACTGGGTTCTTTTGATAAAATTAGAGTAATTGCAAACTATTTCTGGCTGGCAAAGGCTTGTGCTGCAGCAACATGTTTCTTCCACAGGAGGGCACATGATGATAACTTTTAATTTTATGATTAAAAAAAAATCCAACTGCCTAATACTACAGGAAGAATTATCCACGTTGAGGTTTGGGGTTTGTTTTTTCTTTTGAGAATTCACAGATATCGAAGCAACAGTTTAGATATACCTGGCTTTTATTATCTCAGTAATCCTACTTCCATGCCCCATTGGTTTGCAAGCACAAAAGGTTTGGTTTTTATTGGGCTATTATAATTGGTTCCTTTTTTACTGTTTTAAAAAAGAGACAGTAGGACAATGTTGTTACTGCTGTCTTCTCTGAAACATGCTTGAAGCCTGTGATCTTTACACAACTTTTTACCATTTCAGGTATTGCCACAGCTTAATATGCTGGTGAAATGTGGTGACTTGAGGTCTGATCAGGTGCCTTAGTTGGCTTTTCTTGCCCCTACCTTGAGAAGGAGTTTTGTTTTGAGCATTATGTGCTTCAGGGAACACCAGAAGGTTCCCATCCTGCTTAATTTCAAGTTGTTAGGAACTGCACAAACACCTGCAGCAGGATCCATTTGCCTCCTCCATAGGTCTGAGTTGAACTAATCACTGCCATGTGCTGATACATCAGGATTTCCTGGCTTGTTTTCTCAGGCATAAACAGCCTGAAATCAGACACATGTGAATTGGGCAAATGAATCTTTTAACAGCTGCAGATTTTTTTCATTGTTGAAATTCATAAAGTTGGCTTAAGCTGTCCTGTTTGTTTTTTTTTTTGCCAGCCACATGTTTCAAGCTTCTGTCTGGGAAGTTTGTACCTATCATTAATTGATTGTAATGAAACTGGAAGCAAGGTGGAATGCTGCTGTATAAACGTGGGAAATGTGCAGAAAACTTCAATTAACAATGTTTGTGTGGAATTTTTTCATAGTTACAGCATTTTCAGCATAAAACTGAAGCAAGAGTAGAGGTGGAATGTGCACACACACTATTTAGTTCACTGCCTCTCTTGGCTGCAATAGTCAATGACTTAAAATATTAGGAAATTCATTTTGTGTGTCTTTAAAGATAATAAATTAAGCCTTTCTTCTCTTTCAGAACTGTTCCTCCAGCTGGAAGTAAGTACTCTTAATATATCAAAATATCTATTAACCAGATGGAAGAGGTATAAATCTCCTGTTTCATCCAGTAGTGCTTGTGCTTGCTTTCCCAGAAGGCTTAAAGAAGTTTTGTTGTACATGCAGAACAGCCTCTTGGTACTACATCAAATTAATTCTGGACTTTTTCATTAGAATAGAATTAAAAGAAATATTTGCTTTTGGACTGCTGTGTCTGGCTGTGCATTTGGCTTGTTTAAAAAGCTTGTTGAAGGTGGTAAGTGATAGTGCTGTTTATAAATCTCCCTGCTAGAGGCTTGCAACATTAACATGTTTTTAAAAAATAATTCTTTTGCCAATATAGTCCTGCTTAATCATTTTTAGATGGTTTTCTGTTGATTATGAATATTGATAATCTTTAGAACTGGCTACAGTTTTGAACTGAAAACCTAATCAATACAGCAGTTAAAAGAAGCTGTTGTCATGTCATTAACTTGAGTCATGGATTTCCTGAGTTAACATTTCTGTTCTTTGGGTTTGCATTAGACAGATCAGGTGGAAAAAAATTATGTCAAGGAAAAGAAGGCAGCAGCAAAGGAGTTTGAAGATAAGAAAGTTGAGCTTAAGGAAAACTTGATTGCGGAGTTGGAAGAGAAGAAGAAGATGATTGAGAATGAAAAGCTAACCATGGAATTAACAGGAGGTAAAAACAAGATTGGCAGCTGGCCTTGATTGTAGGCACTCTGCTACTGCTGAGGGAAAAAAGGGACCAAGGTAGCAGTGCTCTTTTCTACAGACAGCTGGTGTGAAGGCTTTAAAGCTTTCCAAATGCCAGCACAAATTGGTAGTCTTTTAATGGAGAAAGCAGTCCATAAGAAAATGGAGTGACCTGAATCACAAACAGGTGAATCAAAATAGTGCCAGTGAAGCAGCAGAGTGGATGGACTTGGTTTGTATGCAGGGAATGAGCCTGCATTTAATGCCTGTGGTCTGGCATTAAAACTGTTGAGATAAGCCACAATATTGGCTTAACTGGCTGTGCCAGGTTGTAAGCTGTGTCCTTTTCTTCCCCAGTAATAGCTGGTCAAGAAGTTGAAGAAAGGCAAACAATAGAGGTTGAAATGTGCTTCTCAGAGCCAGAAAAATAGATTTGTGAGCTATTTTTGTCTGGACTCTGCAAAACAGATTTCTTTCATGAGACCAATTGGTACCCTTGGTTCCTTGGCAATGCACTTTGCAGTAATTAACACAGCGGAGTTAAGTAGAGGGTAATTAGCCTTCTTCACTGAACCAAAAGTCTGATTTCATTACCTTTTTTTTAAACAGCTTCCTCACTTCATAGATAACATTGGTTCTGTTGATCAGGCCTGTCCCTGAGTTAGGCCTTTTAGATCTTTCTTGCATAGTATCTACAGAAGTCAGGTAAGCTGATAATTTGATTAGTGTTCAGAAATGAGTAGTAAAACCTGATTGGACATGTTCAGGAGTGCTCTTGGCCTTGTACCAAGTGTTAAGTCTGGAAAACAGCCTGAGTTGTGCTGTTTCTTTTTTTTTTTACTTCTATTCATGAATTCTCCTGTGATCTTACAAACTGTGCCTTAGTCTTAACTTTCCTGTTGTTGTCCTGTGTCTCTGTCTGTCACTGTTAAGTTGGGATACAGCACTAATCTTGTAAGCAGTTTTTCATTAGTGGATCAGGATCTGACTGGCTCTTACCTTTGGGAATCTACATGCCAGGGGTGTAGGAGTCTGGAGGAATCCAGTATCTGTCAGAGGGACAGCTGTTAACATCCAGATTTGGATTTGTGGGGTTAAAGGGAGCCTGAGGAAGGGCCAAAAGAAGTATTTAGTAGTCTGGTTTGAGGTCCAGATTAATCCTCTTCAGGGAGATGTGTCTCCATTGCTGTGTGTCCTGAAGAAGTGAGCTGTTCCATCAAACACAGCTTTAGGGAACAGCTCTAGATCCACTCTGTGTTATCCCTCTGTTAACTCCTGCCCTCCAAACTAACAGAAGAACAATGTGACTTCTAAAGAAGGCACCAGTTTTGGTGTGAGCACACACTGGAGGCTATGAAATACAAATACTGGCAGTCATGTGGACCTGATGGTTTCAAAACCTGTGAAAGTTCAGCAGATGTAAGTTAGCAACCTCACCTGTGAGTTTTGGGAATGTGTTGCAGTTTCATTAGGTGACAACATTTCCCTCCTCTTCTTGGGCTTTGTATAGTCTGGTTCTTGAATGTTAAGCCTCGTGCAAGACTGTGTTTGAGATTAAATCTCTCTGTGTTCTAGCAGTTCTTCAGATCTTCCTTCATAAAGTTTTCATGAATCTCAAAGTTCATCAGATATTTCATAGTGAATGTAAGACTCTCAAACTCTTGGTTATTTTTTTCTGAACATTTGTTTGGTGCTGACTTGTCACAATGTAAGATACAGGATGCTGAGATAAAGAAGAAAATTGATCTTTCTGCCTTGGTCACATTTGAAGCAATACAGATAACAGACAACTCATTTGGAACTGACTTTTAGAAAGGAGAAAAGGCCTTTCTGATTTAGCTGCATGTTGCCTTGAGTAAGTGCTTCAAACCCCTCTTCTGAGCCTCTTGTAAATTAGTCTTAAATGAGAAGAATTGCTTACATGCAGCACAGTAAGTTACATCTTTAGTGCCTCCGGGGTTATTGATCAGTGTTTTCCAAATTCAGCTTTGAGTCGTAGAGCCCCATTTCCTTTGGCAGACACTTGGTGGGTGGCACTTCATTGTTTGTTGTTTTTCAAAGTCTTTTTTTATATTAGTTCCCTTGATGTGCAGCCTGGTCATCCTTGTTCCCCCTGGAGATAAGGAGAAAAGTCATTTGGTGTGTTTTGAGCAGGTGTAGGTGCTCAAGGTTTTGGCACCTAGAGGGAGCCAAAGCAGCTTCACAGACTTCAGGGCTACCCAGGATGTGATTCAGGTGTACTTAAAGATGAACAAATAATTCTCAGCACATAGGATGAGAGTTGAGATGATGTGTTTAGCATTTAAGATGTGGCATTTTGCTTGCCAGTTCAAGATATCTTCATAAATTAAGGAATGATTTGTGAGGGTTTCAGTGAAGTAGTTAAGATTACCTGTAGACATTTGGACAAACTGTAATTTCAGGTAATTACTTGGTGATGAGACTTGTGTTTCAATTTTGAGCAGATGTTTTTCTTTTTCCCTAGTGCATATGCTACAACTTATTTCCTGTCAACTGCTGCTCTGCATGTTATTAATTAGGTTCATTTCATTAATCATAATTTGAAACATTTTTAGATAATCTGAATTTAAGTACTATTTGTGTTGAAAATTACTCCAGCAGACTTGTATCAGTCTTGAATGCAGTAATTATCTGTATTCCTTTGACAAAGCTGTTTTTCCAGCTTGAAGACAAGAAAAAGAGACCAAATGATTTGTAGCTGATGTTCTACATGCTGTTAACTACCAAAGTTTGCATTTGAAATGATCTGTTCAAAAGCAGAGAGCATGGAAGAAATTTGCCCTGAGTCCCTGTAGCATCATTGTGCTTTCGATCCCTACCTGAAGGAGCTCTAAAATGTCCCCAAACCAACTGAGCCACTTCCAGCCAAGGAAAGCTGTAGCCATGGCATCCCAGTGCTGTTGTGGAACAGTGACCTGGGATGAAAGAGACCTTGTATTCAAAGAGACCTTGTGTTCACTGTCAGCAGATCCAGCTTGGATGCTGGAAGCTGTCACCAAAAAAAAGTAAATCCAATTTTCTGTGTGAAAGAGGAGAGATGATTTCCCTTGTGCCCTTTGTAGAAAGCTGCTGCTTCTTACTCCTTTTCCTCTGGTCTTATGAGCTCTCCAATCTCATTGCTCTACAGATTCAATGGAAGTGAAGCCGATTATGACAAGGAAACTGAGGCGACGACCCAACGATCCCGTTCCCATCCCAGACAAGAGGAGGAAACCTGCCCCTGATATCCTTTCACAGAGTTGCTGGAGGGCTGTTGTGTTTGAGGCCAGCATGCTGCCTGCATCTGTGCTTTTTTGTACAGGAAGGGAAATGAAATGAGGTGCTAGGATCAGATTTTCATCCAGGAGATACTGAAATACTATTTGTCATGTATAATGTGTGATAAACTGATACAAGAACCAGTCTCTGGAGAGCCCTCCATGTTCTAACCTAAACTTCAGTGTTATGAGATAACTTATTTTTTCAGCAAGAATACTTTAAATTGTTCAGGCAATTTTTTTCACAGAGGAAAAACTTTAAAAGAACATTACATATAAAAGCAGAGGTAATTGATTCCATAGGTAGTAAATGGCTTCTTACATGAGCTTCTCTCCTTTCAAGACATGACAAAACATTTGCCAGGAAGGTTGTATTTGTCACATCAAACTAGATTTTCCATTTCTGATAAAGGCTTCAGCTCTCTAATCCAGAGAGATGCACAGCAGAAGCAAGGAGTGCTGGATTGGTTCTTTGAATAAATTAAGGAATGAAAATCCATCTTGTTTTTCTATATCATGAGAGAGAGAAAAACATGTCTGTGTAGTCCTTCTGCCTTGGATCTTATAATTAAGATATTCCTTAGCATTGGAAATATGTTTTAACTCCTCTGTGATGATAGGTGCTTTTTGTATATTAAATTCACCTGGAAGGGAAGGCAATGATATTTGCTTTGCAGAGGCTTGTTATCAGATTCCAAACTTAAATCTGATTAGAAAAAACTTACCTTGTGACTTCCGAGTAGCTCACATTTTCTGAAGGCAACATCAAACCTGGAACTTCTGGAGTTCATGTGGGATGGTCACAAGCACCTCCAGTTTTAATTAACATCTTTCTGGTTGGACTTCCTGTTGACTCTTTAAGGGAAAACTCCTCTTTATTGGTGCCCTTATCTCATCCAAAATACATTTGTTTTGTCGTGGACATGACCTGCTAATTGAGCATGATACAGCAGCCACAGGAGGAACCTCAATCTGCCTTTCCTCTTTAGAGAGAGGATTGAAGTCCATCAGAACCAAAATCCTTGAAATGCAGCCTAGCAATTGTTCACTTCAGTACAATGCTTTGAAATCCTTGAAATGCAGCCTAGCAATTGTTCAGTTCAATGCTTTAGATAGTTTTGGCTTGAGAGCTGTTTTTGAAGCAGCACTGCAGGTTACAGTTGGAGGGAGGCCCCGCTGCCTCGGGTATTGTTTTCCTTCTGTGCACTTGTTTTTCTTGTGTGGAGATGAGAGGGGAGCAGTAGAAAAGGGAAGCAGGAAGATGTGCTTGTGAAGCTAAACAAAATGCCAGAGGAGCTCTAATAAGGTTAAAATACACTAAATGTTCTGAAGTGCTGCGAGTTTCTTTTTTCTACATTTGGGGGGGATTTGGCTTCATTGTACAAAATCTGAAGCAAATCTGTTGTGTTTCAGCTTCCAGGTTGTTTTCCACAGAAATGTGAGATGAAACCACTGAAAACACTGATTCTTGATGCCTCCATGAAGTAAATGTCAATGCACTAAAGGTTTTTCATTGCTGGTTATGTCTAAGCAAGTTAAAATGATTTTGCACTCTTACTTGCTGCTAAATATGAGGCTCTGTAGAGATGGTCTTGTACTAATTCATATGACAAAGCTCAAATATGACACTTAATAAAATCTTATGCAGCTTTACAGCAACCTTTTGGCTTACCTTTAGCCAAGTGAAGTGTCATTGACCTTTAATTTTTAGCCTCGATTCTCAAGAGTTGATGGGAACCTTAATTCTGAATACCTCAGCTAAATTATTTGTTGACTGATGAGCAAATAATGGAGGACCTGAGAACACTGAATAAGGTAGGAATTGTCCTTTGGGTTGTATTTCTTTATTTTCAAGAAAAAGCTGATGCTTTCCCCTAAGAACATAGCTCTGTTGTATGTTCCTTTTTGAGATGCAGGACTATTTCCTCCCAGTAGGCTTTCTGAATTAGCACCATAAAAGATTTAACAAGATGGTATCTCCTCCCTTTGATTTTAATAGGTTTAATTAACCTAATTAAAATGGCTGTCATCTGAAAATGTTACCTTTTGTCTGAACCAAGTGCTGAGCTATCTTAAGGAGTTTCTTTCCTCCTCACAGAGCAGATGTTAGTAAGTCTTTCTGTGAGGCCACAGGCTGCCTCTGGTTTAGGCCTTAGGATGGGGTGGTGGCTTTTTTCTCCCCAGTCACAATATATCAGCAGACTGCATGGGGTGCAGGGGCTGTGTGTGTGTATAGTTCTTCCAGAGCTGATTAACCTATTGCTTTCTGGCTAAATGCTTTAAGGCTTGTCTAATTTCTTAAAAGAGAAGCTGCTCATTAAGGCACTTGAGGGTGGTAGTGGAGCCTGCTTTTTTGTGCCAACTGTCGAGGTGTCTCTAATGATTCATCTTCTTTATGTTGTGTACCCTGAGAAATGTTGGATTGTGTTAAAAAATACAGTGTATTAGTTGGGTTTGATTTTCATTTGTTTTTGTGGATTATTTGAATACTCTGAAGTTGACTTCAGTAGAACTTCTTGTATCGTGGTGCTGATTATTTGCACCTTAGGCTGTTTATAGCATTCTGTTCTGGATGTGGGTTAAAAAAAACAACAAAACAGTAAAAGGAGAACTGGCTTCATCCTGGCTCAAACCAGGACAGCCACATAACAGTACATTTAAAAAAAGAACCTTTAGAGTATGGAAAGTAGGACTAAAATGATTACTGCAGACTTCTGTGCCTCATGTCAGATCTCTAATGCTTCTTTGCTCTCTTTCCATATAGCTTAAATCACCCAAGAGACCAGGTGAGTTAACAGTTGCATTGGAACTTGTTCACAGTGGTGCTGTTTTGAGCAGAGAATGATGCTGCAGCCTTCTTGACTAAGTTGCTGGCTGTGCAATGTGACTGTGTAAACGTTTTGAGTGTGTAATTGCTGTTCTTTGAGAAGCTGCTGTGACCAATGGATGCTGTGTGGAGACTCCATCTGTTCTGGAGCTTGTCAGGGGTGGGAAGGGAGGCATCTCTGGCTGTAACACTGGGGTATGGGACAATCCAACTGGGAAGAGGTTTTTGCATTAAATACAGACACATCTGGGCCTTGCCTGCTCGTCAGGGATTTGGAGGGGCTGAAAACTCAGTTTTATGCCTTCAGCCCTAGATGTGTCTGTACTCTTTATTTCAAGACAAAGTGGTACTAACTTGCCTAAATGTTTCTGACCCTGTTTAACGACTTTAGAGTAGAATTACAATCAAGGACATACTGTCACCTGCCTGCCAGCATTTTTTCCAATAAATATTCTGTTCCAGTGAACATTGCAATTTATATACTCAAGACAGAGGCTGATTTATTCATCCCAGTAGAGAATATTTGGAAATCTGAGTTTGTAGCTTTCTGTGCTTATTATTTCTGCTTAATGTGACCTTACTAATTGCAATCTTGCACTCAGATGTTCTGTGTGGTGAATGTATCCTGGTATTAAACACAGTCTCTCCTGTTCTCAGCCTCTCCCTCCTCTCCTGAGCACCTTCCAACCACACCAGCAGAGTCTCCAGCACAGCGGTTTGAAGCCCGGATAGAAGATGGAAAACTGTACTATGATAAGAGATGGTAAGTCCTGCTACATTCCTGTTTTAATCAGTCTGAGCCTTGTGTAGTGAGGAGACAAAGCCTGCAGAGAGAAATTGCTTTGGTGTTGGAATTTGGGGTCAGAAAGGTTTTGGGGAGAGGTTAGCCACTTCCTCCAATCTTTGCAACCTGGGTCAATCAAAGTAGGAGCAGAGTGTTTAGACATCATAGACTTTCAGAAGTAACTACTGGTTCAAATAAAAGAAGACTTAAATCTTTTCCATGGAGTCAGTTTTGCAGACTGTGGTGCTTGAGAAACACTTTTGTCGAACCTCCTGACAAAGAGAGCCACCAGCAGACATGTCATGTAGCTGTGAAGCCAGTCAGCTAGGACACAGATCCAGGCAGAGAGGGTGGGGTTGACAGGATTCACAGCCCTGCTCTTCAGTTTTGTAGAGCATTAGCCCGTCATTCCACAAGGTGGTGGAAGAAATGTGCACCAGCTGAGCAGAATGAAAAACATTTCTAATAAATCCAAATAACCTTTAAAGATCAAACCCGCATGGGAGAAGCAGCTTCAGAATTGCTGGTTGAATTTAGCTCTGGTAAGTTTTATGGGCATGTAGCTGTGCAAGCCTCAGAGAAAAAAAAAAGAGAAAATATTAAATAATAGAATCATAGATTGGTTTGGGTTGGAAGGGACCTTGATGATCATCTAGTTCCAACCTCCCTGTGTGGGCAGGGACACCTCCCACCAGACCAGGTTGCTCAAATTTTGCAGAGATCTTTGTAGTTCTTAATCCATGAGACATGCAAAACTGGATAATCAAGTGGACAATCAAGTACTCCTTGAGCAGAAAGCAATTTGCAAGTCATATGCTTATTTGCTTTGGTGTTCTGCTGGCTCAGAATAACAAGTGATGAGATGGTAATTTCATCACTATAATGATAGCTATGAAGCTTGTTTTCTACACAACAGGCATCTTGTACAGCTGATCAGTTTTCCCTTCTGCTGGTCTTCTGACAGTGAGGTTTCATTGAGGGTTCAGTGTACACAGCTCTGATAAAAGCTGCTGCCTGGAGCTTAAACCTCCCTGAAGTGTAAAGCAGGCATGAACTGAACAGGTTACTTGTCACTTTATAAATTCATAACGTTTTTTTTACCTTTCATCATTTATTTTTTGGACTAAAGTGACTATCCTGTGGGATATATTTGGATGAATAAACTGTTCTTCAGATTTTTTTAGCGTGTGGAGAACTGTAAAGTGTTGCATAAGTTAAATAAAAGGAAAGATGGAATCTGGAGTAATCTGTCAGTAAAGCTCCCAAGCTGTCACCAGATTTAAACCTGGGAGAGCTTCAGTGAGCCCAGATGAGTCTCTTAAAAGCAGCATCTCTCTCTGAAAGGTTGAGACATAAAACACTAGCAGATATTTTCATTGCAGTGAATTCAGTTGTCATGGGGGTTTCACTGTCAGGAATTCCAGCTGTTGCCTTTCTTGTCTTCCTTGTTCCTTTGCTTTTTTAAGATAAGCATTTTACATTTTTTTGGCTGTAATAATCCTGCTTAGGTTTTTTGGTTGATAGTAATAGTACTTGTGCAAAGTAGGTGGTATTTTAAAATTATTAACTCGCTCTTTGTAGTGGCAGGGTAGTTTTTTCCAAGGTGTGTTAGGGCTGTAGCTGCTTCACCAGGAGTAAAACTGACAGCTTGGGAATGACTGTTCTGTGTTTCCTGACAGCAGCTGTGAAGGACCATTATCCCAAAATAGTGAATGTTTAAGGCTAGTAATGGACTCCCTGAGGTCTTTCACCAACATGGTTCCAAAGTGGAGACTTTGTGTAGGGAATTTCCAAGTGAATGTGGAATAAGACTTTGGGTTTTCTTTTTTATTCTCAATTTGCTCCACACCTCCCCGCCAGAGCCTGAAGTTGAGTTCACTGGAAGAGCCACCTCTGCTTTTAGCTTTGTCTGCATGCAGTAATGCATCTTTTCATCTTCTGATGGAGATGCACTTGAAGCATCTTGGCCTTTCAGCAAAATATTTTGTAGCAGAAAGTGGAATTATTTCTGCCTGCCTCTCTTGTTGGTGTTGTGTGGTGTATTTTATCTACCACAAAAGCAAGAGTTGTTTGGCACTTTCCATCTCTTGAAAGCCACTTAAATTCCATTGCATATTTTTGTCTAAAGTATTTTCCTCAGTTCCTCCTCTGTTTCCCTGTGGGTGTATAAACTCAGCAAAAGGCTGAGAGATGAAGATGTGAGATGGACCAGGCTGCTGTGCCTTCAGCTGACCTGTCTCTGCCTGCAGGGAGCATCAGACAGCTCAGACAGCTCTTCAGTGAAAAAGTGCTGAGCTGACAACTTTTTACCTTGCCTTTTCTGGCCACAGGTAACAGACATTTACTGATGGATGGTAGCCCGTGGCGTGAAACCCAGGGGCTGAAACCAGATTTGTCATAAGCTTTGGAATTCACTGATAGTAAAAAAATTGGGAATGAACAGGTTTTGAGGGAAAAAAACATTTCATTATCTGTGCAGGCATAGATATCAAAAGGGGTGGTTATTTGCCTCTCCTGCACTCAGAAGCTTGTGCAATGGTTCTGTCAAGATCATCAGCTCTCCTTGCTTAGGCATTCACAGCAGGGTATGGTAGGACACTGCTGGGCTGAGGTCTTTGTCTTATCTTAGTGAGGTCTGGGTTTTGTAGTGGCTTATACTGATCCTTTATATCAATTAATGATCACTTGATCTCAGTAAACTGAGACTTTTGGCTCAGGTCATTGCTCCTATTGCAGTGCTCTGCACCCTCTGACGTCCTTTCTGTTAAAAGAGGGAGAGAGAATAATGGTTGAGTACAAGGGTCTAAAGGTTGCAGAGTTTGAGGGGATTTATTTTTTTTTTTTTTTTGCCTTGCCCAGCCCATTGGTAATTATGTTTGGAAGGCTGAAAACTGACACTGTCACTTTGTTACTGGCAAGCAGTGTGAAAATTCTGAGTATGTGAGCCATTAGAAAGAGATTATGGAATAAACTGTTGGAAAAATTCCATGTTTACAGTATGGTTATTGTAGAAATAGCTGTAAAGATTATGGAAATCCATGCATATGGACAAATAGCTGCCCTCCAATCAGACTGCATGGAGTTACATGCTGAGTAATTACTGAGGGAATATCTCTGCAGTGATTCTGCCACTTGGGTTGCCTGGTTAAATATGAAGCACATCATGATTAGAGTAAAGTGGAATTATAGTGATGCTTTTAGAACTATAAAGCATTTTGGTGTTCTATTGATTAAGATAATTTACTTACAAATAATCTGTTTCAGTATAATTAGTTCTGCCTGTTCTCCCAGGCAGAATAAAGGGAAACTGGGGAGTTTTGTCTAGCACAGTTTACAGAACTCAACAGAAACATGGTCTGTAAAGAAGGGAAGACTATGTAAGCTTCCAATTTTTTGCTTTGTTTTATACAAAATACGTGAAGAAAAATAGGTAGCATGATTAAAACATAAAATAAAAGGGGGGGGAAGGATATGCTTAGACAGGGCTTCCTTACAGCAGGTATGTACAGCTTCTTAGAGAGTCACTTACCATTTTGGGCATTGTCACAAAGTGTTAGGAATTTAAGGTCTCTGTTTAAACAACAGAGGCTGTGCTGACTGAGTACAGTTCACATTGTTGGTGCACTAGTAATTTTAAACTGGGGAATGTGGATAACTCTTTAGTATCTGTGATTTGCTCTGTCACATTTGATCAGGCATAACATGGAGCTGCCTCCTAAAATCCATCCTGTGTCTGCAGTGGGAAAGGCTACTTTGAGCTCCTGAAACGTGGGCTTATTGTCAGTGTCCTCCTGTGGCCTGGTGCTCTGTACCTCCTTCCTTCAGCTGTGAATTCTGTGTTCAGTAATCTGTGTACAGGGTTGGATGTGACTTGAGAGGAGCTTCATGCATTCTGAAGCATTATTTAAATGCCAAGTGTTTGTGTCTAGAGTCAGACAACCTGCAATGTTGGTGAAGAGGGGAAAAGTGGTGTGGAAAGAGAGACAGACTTCATATTTACCCAATGCTTGTAGAATCCTGACTTTATCAGTCTTACTGCTTTTTGTTTTCTCAGTCTTTGGACAGCTGATGGTTTCATGTGTATATTTATTCTTATTTCTGCAGGTATCACAAGAGCCAGGCTATTTACCTGGAGTCAAAAGAGAACACCAAGATCAGCTGTGTGATCAGCTCTGTGGGTGCCAACGAGGTAGTGGCCTTTGTTTTTCCTGGGAGGGGGGAAAACCATGGGTAGGCAGGTGGCTGGCTGGTTAGGAAAGGACTAAGAGAAAATCAACATTACTTTCAGATAAGATGTAGTTGTCTGGTGTCTAAAGAAGCTGGATCCAAGGTAAAACTGTGTTGAGATACCTCTTTTTGAGAGAGATCTGAGATGGGAAGAGACTTGCTGCTTTTTTCAACAATGATCCTCAAGAGTGAAGGTTTATTTTGCCACCAAATTTAATTGCTTAAAGAGGAGAAAATTCTTCCTGATAACCTGTGTTGGGCAGGAAGCTCGCAGCATTCATCACCTGCCTGGGAGATGGGACATGTGAGTCACCTGTTTGTCTGAGACAAATTCCTTGTAGCTCATGATTAAGGCTTAAAAGAATCAGATGAGGAGAGGAACATGCCTAAGAATGATGAGAATCTTGCTGCAAACTTAAGCTTAGTGCTCAAGGAGTGCATCAGTCAGGCAAGGGGGGAGCACTTCATTCTTTGGTTGCAGGTTCCAGACACTTCAGGGAAGAAATGGTAGACTTGGATGCACTTCTCTTCAGTCAGCCAATAAAGTTACTTTAATTTATTTTGGCAGCTAAGAGAAACATTGTTTTCAACAAAATGAGGTGTGTGGGGGGTGTGCTTTGTATCACAACTGTTCTCCTTGCAATAACAGTTGTTATGCTTAAGGATCGGTTATTTATCTAAAGCGGTAGTAGCATGTGTTAAAAATATAGTACTGCTAATTTGATTAAAGTCATTACTGTTAACTTAGACTGTTAAAACTCAATATTTTGGGAGCATCTCACCAGAAACCTGGAGGTTGCAAATCATAAAATCCCTGTTTGGTTTGGGTTGGAAGGGACCTTAAAGATCATCCAGTTCCAACCCCCCTGCATGGGCAGGGACACCTCCCACCAGCCCAGGCTGCTCCAAGCCCCATCCAACCTGCCCTTCAACACTGCCAGGGATGGGGCAGCCACAGCTTCCCTGGGCAACCTGGGCCAGGCTCTCACCACCCTCACAGCAAAGAAATTCTTCCTAAATCAGATCTACATGTCCCATATTGCACATGAAGATCTAGATGTTCAGCTGGTTTAACCTTCATCATTTCACACCTCAGTTCCCCTTCTGGAACAGATCCCTAATGCTGGGAGCTAAATCACTTGTGCGCCTTGACTGAGTGAGGTGTTCTGACCTAACAATAAGAGCCACCTGGGCTTGGTTTGTTGCTTACTCTGGTTTTTTCCTTTTTCCCCCCTATATATCTCCCTGCCCCTTTCTGTTTTTCTTTTCTTTCACACAGATTTGGGTGAGGAAAACCAGCGACAGCACAAAGATGAGGATCTACCTGGGGCAGCTGCAGCGAGGTGTCTTCGTGATCCGCCGGCGATCAGCTGCATGATTATGTCTGTATTTTTAAACCAATAGACAAACCTCTAATGGGGGGAATGGCAGCCTGTTCACTCAGCAGCAGAGAACACTGTTATGACCTCTTACGAGACAGTTTGTGGCTGGCCACATAATCCCCAGTAGTCCTTAAATCTTTAGTGACACCCAAGCACTGCCCTGGACTATTCCTGGATTTTTTGCATCAAGCTTCTGTCTGCTTTCTTTGTATTTCGGGTGACTATTTAAGAAGACTTTGCATCATATTTTTTCATCCTTGTTTTATGGTGCATAGGTGGGACTGGTGTGTTGAAAACAAAGTAATGTTTCTGTTCTCGATCAGACCAATGGAAGAAGCTTTGGTTGTCAAGACCTGAGGTTAATTTTTCTTTTTGGTTTTGTTTTCATGCAAGGCTCAGGATGTTGGGCAAAAGGAGAAGACTCTTGCCAGCTTCCAGCTGCAGCCAAGAGATGTCTCTAATACATCATTAGCAGCTTTGTTGGATGAACTCTTTTAAAGACTTGAGCACTGAGGCTTTTTTAAGGAAAGTAAACAGCTCAAACTGCTGAAAATCCAGTTGATATTAATGTAGTTAAGCAGTTGTGTGGCTAATTAGAAGCTTTTGTTTCTCTTTACATTAAAAAACCCTTCAATGAAAAAGTGAAGAGTTATATCTATTTGGTGAAGTTTCCTGAAGTTGGTGGATAAGTATAAATCAAAGGATTAATTAACTGGACCTTGCAGATAGTGAGACTGTGAGTGTAACCACTTATACATGTAGAGAGATGAAAGGTAAATTTCACTTTCTTTACTGATGCTTAGACTAACTGCTGGAATCCTGTTGACAGAAGATACTGAATCTGATGTATCTCCCAAAGGAGCCTGATACAGAGTAGAAAGCAGCATTGACATGCTCTTAGTGTACAGCTGACACTTTCATTCCCTAAAATGTCATGCAAAGGTTTCCCTTTGAAGGGTGTTTTAATTACTGGAGACAACACTGGGTTTCTACACTTGCCCTCCAGTAGCACAAGTGAAAATGCTCAAGTGCTGATATTAATATGCTCCCTTCCAAGGTGTTTAGAGATCTGACTCTGGCATTCCTTTATCATTCCCAGTCTTTTGCTGATGTCTGAAACCACCAATACCATGTGTGACACTGCACTGGCAGTGCTCTCTGAGTTCTGCCTTCTGTGCATAAGAACTTTGTGCTCCTTTTGATTACTGGACAAAAAAAAACCTTGTAATTTCTGCCTTTACCAGTATCTGTCATTCTGAGGCATCTCTTGTTTTTGCTTTTGCCTTGTTGTTCAGCATCAGTCCAGCCTTTCTTTCCTGTCTGGATAAATGGAGTATTTTAAATGACTGTTTCCATTTCTTTTCCTTGCTGCAGTTGGGTGGCAGTCACATCCCAGTAACTGGTGTCTGCCTGGGGATCTGGAGTGTTGTGGCTGGGTTTCTGATGTGTTGCCTTTTTGGCTGAGCTACCTGACCTATTTTTCCTGAGTTTAGAGTTTCAGCTGGATCTGGAGCCTTGGCAAGGAAAGAAGGGTGTCTGTTCCCCACCCTTTGAAAATGTGCCATTTTTGCTGCAGTGTCAGTCAGGTGGAAAGCAGAAGGCTGTATTTTGCCAGGTTAATAGCTTGCTTAATATAACTTAGCATTCTCTGCATGTGTGACAGGTTTTTAATAAGGTGGTGATGTACCAAATGGGATTCTTCACTGAGCCTTAAAGTGAACATCATAGTTCTGACAATAAAAACTGCTAAGTAAGTAGCAGGATTTATTTCTTACCTATGTCATCAATATATGTTTGTGGAAATAGCTGGGACCTTTGGTTCCATTTTGGGAAGATACTTTGTAGACCTGCTAACAACAGGTGATCTCTCTGCTTATCTAGTTTGGGGTAAGTTTGAAGGTATTGGTGCAAGTGTGGAATTGCAGCAGCTCCCTTAGAGCCAGGCATGGTAGAGGTGCACATAGTGTAAGCTTAATTATATAACTTTGACACCTCATCTTAATCTGACTCATCATCTGCTCGCCATCCCTGTTCTGTGGCAGAAGGGGGGTAAGAAGAGCTGCTCTTGCAGCCAAAAGCCTGTCTTTCCATCAGCTATGGTCTGATATTGCTAGGGGTAGGGGAAGATGGTGGGATGGGACACACATTTCTAGTTCATACCCTAAAGAATTTGCAGTCTTCTGGAACTGAGCACCCACAGGACTTGCACAATTTCCCTTTTCTGTGACCCCCCCCTGTGGTCACCCCACTGTGCTGAGCATGTTACTGTTATCACAAGGAGTCATCTTGTGTTGTTACAGGTAACTGAGGAGTGTAGCCTTGGACTGCAAGTTGTAGTGGTGGAAAACAAACAGATTGAGGACAGTGAGCAGTCAGGGTGGGAAGGCAGAAGTGTAAGTGCACTGTTCATTGGCTGGGGAGATGGGTTGCATAAACTGGTCCTCATTCCAGGGGGCTTCAGCATGGAAATGGTCAAAACTCCATCTCAGTCTCTTACTCCATTCTTCATGCTGGTCTTGGATCTCCAGGAAGGATATATGAGGTTTGTATAACGTCTGTCAGAGATCTGCCAGTTTCCCCAGTGCCTCTGGATCAACATTTGAACAATAATACCTGCATCTGGCAGTTCTCGCTTGTAGGCTGGATTTGCTCAAATTTGCTGCTACTGAAGGTATTTATTTAGTTTTAGGGCTACTTCATCCTTAGTTGCCTGCTTTAATGAAATGAAAGTCTTTCTTGCCTTAGCTGATCAGCATAAAAAGCAAATCTGTCTCTAACAAAGTCCATGAATGTTGTATCCTGTTTTTTCCAGCAGGCTGTTCTGTGATGGCCTGTGCCATTTACGAGGCTGGAGCTGGTCATGCTGCAGTGCCTTAGTGTGCACTCAGGGAAGCTGCACATTTTTTTTAATCCTAGAAGGATGCTCAAAGTGTGTTGTGACCAGGATGAGGCATGTGGAGATCAAAACTATAGACACCAGCTGTAGAAATGAAGATTTGCTGCCACTGGATGGAAAAATAGAGACAAGTTACTGGAGGAGATGGACAAGGTCTTGCTTAAATTCTAAGAGAATATTGGCTTTTCTGTCTGCTGTTTGCCTGTGTAACATCAGCCTTTTGAAGAATTCAAATCCTCAGTGACCAGGAGTGGTTTTGCTACAGGTATGAAAAGATTTCATCCTCATTATCAATAGTGTTTAAAGTAAATTTAAGACATTATTTTAAGTCCTGGTTATAGTCATTTTCAAGGAAGTTGAACCTTTTGCCAAAACCAGATTTTTATTGTAGGTTAAACTGTACTTGGGTGTTGACTCACATTAAGCATGATTTTTTTTTTTTCATTGCCTTGAGAAATGGTGAAATGATCAAGGAAGAACAAAAGATCATCCCTGCTCCCAGCCATTAGATGTTGATGGGGTGGGAAGGCTTTTGATATGGTCTCCACAGCATCCTCCTGGAGCCACTGATTACATCCTTGACAAGTGGTCTGTGTGGTGGGTGGGGAACTGGCTGACAGACCCTACCCAGAGTGTGACAGTAAATAGTTCCTCCTCAAACTGGCAATGAGACAAGGGGGGTCCCCCAGGGATCAATATTGGGCCCAATCCTGTTTAACATCTTCACAAGTGACCTGCATTTTGGGATCAAGAGCACCCTCATGAAGTTTGCTGATGACACCAAGATGAGAGGAGTGGTTGAGATTCCAGAAGGGAGAGCCACTCTCCAGCATGACCTGGACAGGCTGTAGGAGTGGGCTAGCAGGAACCTTATGAAGTCCAACAGGGGCAAGTGTAAGGTTTTGCACCTGGGAACACATAACCCAGGAGCACAGTTCAGACTGGGATCCTCTAGGGAAGGTCTTGGTGGATAACAGGCTCAACATGAGCGCACAGTTTGCTGCAGCAGCAAGAAAGCCACCAGGATGCTGGGTGGGAACAAGGGCTTCATCAGCAGAGATCAAGAAGTCATCATCCCACTCTTCTCAGCTCTTGTCAGACCACACCTGGAGTGTTGCCTTCAGTTCTGGTTCCTGCTCTACAAAAAGGATGGGACAGGCTGGAGAGGATGATCAGAGGACTGGAGGACCTGCCATTGAGGAGAAGCTGAGAAAACTGGGGTTGTTCAGCTGTGAGAAAAGAAGGCTCAGGGCAGACCTTATGACCTTGTTCCAGTACTGAAAGGGTGGCTACCAGGAGGATGGAGACTCCCTAGTTACAAGGAATCACATGGAGAAGACAAGGGGTCATGGGCACAAGTTGCTCCTGGGGACATTCTAATTGGTCACAAGGTAAATTTTTCACCATAAGGACAGTCCAACATTGGAACAGTCTCCCAAGGGAAGTGGTAGATTCCCCCACATTGGACAGTTTGAAGTCTCAGCTTGACAGGGTGTTGAGCCTCCTCATATACACTATAGTAGTACCTAGAAAGGTTGGACCAGGTGAATCCTTGAGGTCCCTTCCAACCTGGTGTTCTATGACTCTGTGATTATTTAAGCCTTTGGTTCTAAACCAGCACTGCTTCAAGCAAAGCCAGTCATTTTTAGGGCTTTGGAACCAAGAGATCTAACTCCCTAGAAACAGCTACTGATTTATTTAATCCATCTTAAGTTTGAAACCTCAGTTGTCCTCTCTGCCTAAGGTAACTTTGTCATTTTTCAATTAGTTCTAATTTGCTTCCATGTGTTTTGCCCCAAATCCTGAGAGGTGAAATAAAAATCAGAATACGAACTGATGAAACATACCAATTTTTTAATTTCACTTTATTAGTATTCCTTATTTTTATGGAGTTAGGATTCTTTGACAGTAAGGACTGGTTGAATGGCTATCCCAGTTAATGAAAGCTAATTATCTTTAATGAAAAGAAATACAAATGCAAATCAAGGTGAAAATTGTTGTCTTAAATCAAGGTTTCTGCTGGATGGTTTAAATCCTGTTTGGAATCTGTGACTGGAAGGTGCCAAATTAGCAGACTCTGGGACACTGTGGGTTTGGAGTGCTTGGCTGGAGGACACATGGATGGAGCTCTGTATGTGCTTCCCTTGTAACATGAGAAGGTAAGTGGAAGTTTGTGTTTTTCAGGGAAGTAGAGGATGTCTGACAAATAATTGATTTATTTTGAAACAAGGAGTTGAAGGTAGCTGATGATCATGTCAGAATACTGAAGAATTATTATGTGGAAGAAATATCCTTTTGCCCATGAACTGAATTTTAGTTACAGC